AACAGATTAATAACAGATCTGATTTAATAACAGATTAATAACAGATCTGATTTAATAACAGATTAATAACAGATCTGATTTAATAACAGATTAATAACAGATCTGATTTAATAACGATTTAATAACAGATCTGATTTAATAACAGATTAATAACAGATCTGATTTAATAACAGATTCAACAAACTCAGATTCAACAACACACCTAGATCTGATCAACAACACACCCCGTGAGTAAGGAGTGACGCCATGAGGGAGAGAGGAGGAGCGGCCGACGCCATCACCGTGAGCATCGCAGCAGAGAGAGAGAGAGGCCGAGAGAAGAGAGGGAGGAGTGACGCCGTGAGGGAGAGAGGAGGAGCGGCCGACACCGACGCCGACACCGACGCCATCGCCATCGCCATTGCCTTGAGCATCGCAGATTCGCAACAGAGAGAATGAGAGAGAGGCCTAGATAAGAGAGAGTGTGAGTGGGAGTGAGGAGTGAAATGAGTCCTAAATAACCTAAACACATATATATGCGGTATATATATTCGGGGATATATACGGGGAGTAGTCGGACCGGGGCCGGGGTTGGGAAATCTATCTCCATCCCCGGCCCGATAATGATCGGGGGTTTATTTTTTAATACCATCCCCGGCTCGTGGGGAATTTTTTTCGGGGAAAAACCGTCCCATTCGGGGTCGGGGGGTCGGGTCCCCGTCGGGCCGGTTTCAAATTGCCATCCCTAAGTCTTACGAGCCCCGATGATTTGCCTCCTCTCCATTATCCTCCTCTCCATAGGTGAATTCAGATTTTTTTTTTTTTTAAGCAAAAAAAATTTCATACTAAAGAAAACAGATCCAGATCATTTTCATCAGCATCATCATCATCAACAATTTTTTTTTTTTTTTTTTTGATAAACTATCAATATGTCCTAATAATTGAACTTAATTTCTTTCAAGTCGTATTGAAAATAAGACATAATATAATTATCGTTAAAAATAATTTTTTGTAATGATTTTTTACATATATCGCTGAAAATTGGCCATCAGTGAATTTTTTTGTCACGATTTTTATAAATTGTCGCTAAAACTTACAATTAGTGACGTTTTCCTGTGACAATTTTCAAATTGCAATTAAAAGTTAAAAATTAATGACATTTTTGTAATGATTTTTTTAAACTATGACTAAAATTTATAATTAGTGACATTTTTTTAATAAAATTTTTTAAATTACCACTGAAAATTAACAATTGGTGACGTTTTTTTAATAGTATATTGTAAAAGATATTATTAATTATCATAAGACTTATTAAACAATAAGTCCACTTAATAGAACCTATACATAAATCCCTCTTTATTTTTCTGGGTCACATAATAGGATGTTAATAAGTTAGTAGAGTTAAATTTGTATAACATGTCGACGTCATTCCATTCACTCTAACTTGAAATCTAGCCTCACTAATACCTTATCCTTTCATGATTATTTGGGCTACAAACCCAAATTAAGTTAATTAGGACATACACGCAAGCTTTTTATTTTTAAAATTTTTGTATTCAATTATATCTAACCAAATTATAAAAAGATAATTCATGAATAGAGTGGTGAACTCCACCTCATAATAAAAGATAATTCATGGATAGAGTGGTGAACTCCACCTCATAATAAACTCTCTACAATAGTGACTTGCGAGCTGAGTCACACCACTCCTTTATGCATATAGTGTGAATGGGAAAGATCATGTGGCCCCAAGATTAAACCGAATTCTTGTTAATATATATAAATTAGATATAATTCCCAAAAAATTAAAGTTTGAACAATATAATTATAAATTTAGTTAATATTTGTGTTAAAATTTACTGTTCTCACAACCTGATCAGCCCAATTAAACTGAATTCTTGTTAATATATATAGGGAGCTTTTTTGATAAATCTTTTTTTAAGAGTTTTATTCCATCCAACACACATTCTTTTTGACTATTCGATTAGGTCCTATTTGAGGTAAGAACACCAAAATATCATTTTCATCTACTTATGTTCCATTTAATTCACATTATTTTCTTATGTTTCAATAAGTCCTATGGGTGACATAATTATCAAAATACCCCTAATGTAAATGTTCACACTATCAATGTGAATGTTCACACCGTCAATATGAATGTTCCTATTTGAGGTAAGAAGAACAAAATACCCTTTTTATCTACTTATGTTCCATTTAGTCCACATTATTTTCTTATGTTTCAATAAGTCCTATGGGTGACATAAGTACCAAAATACCCCTAATGTGAATGTTCACATCCCATGGGTGACATAATTACCAAAATACCCCTAATGTGAATGTTCACATCGTCAATGTGAATGTTCATACTATCAATGTGAATGTTCATGTCATCAATGTGTAGGGACTCGACCCAGCCCGGGCCGGGGCAACCCACGTAAAGCCTCGTGGGTGCTTGCCAAAATTCGGGCAGAGCCAAACCGGCCCACGGGCCAAAAAATTAGGCCTAGGCGCTAGCCCTGGCACAAAGGTATTCAGGCTTTGGGTGCCCCAGTGGGTCGAGCCAAGGGGCTTGGGCCTAGACTTAAGCTTGGGTGAGCCTTGCCATTTTTTTAAATTCTTTTTAATTTTTTCTTCCAAAATTTTATTATTTTTCACAAAAAAGACACCGGGTCTCTGGCGGGCCGGGCCTCGGGCCGAGCCTTAAATGGGGCTTATACGGGGCGAGCTTCAAAGTGATGGCCCATGTCCTAGCCCAAGTTCTCGGGCTAGGCTCGAGCCCGAGCCCAAATGAGCTTGCCCCGGGCCACGAGAGGGCTTCGGGTGGCCCACGGGCCGCCGGGCAATTTTACACTCCTATCAATGTTAATGTTAACATGTCAATGTGAATATTCACATTGTAAACGGGCCGGACCAGGTCGGACCCATGGGCGAGTTTCGGGCCGCCTATGGGCCGCGGGTCAATTTTACGCTCCTATCAACGTGAATGTTAATATGTTAATGTAAATATTCACATTGTCAACGGGCCGGGCCGGGCCCGTCCCGGGCCGCTGGTCAATTTTACACTTCTATCAATGTGAATGTTAACATGTCAATGTGAATCGCCATTTTTTTAAATTCTTTTTAATTTTTTCTTCCAAAATTTTATTATTTTTCACAAAAAAGACATCGGGTCTCTGGCGGGCCGGGCCTCGGGCCGAGCCTTAAATGGGGCTTATACGGGGCGAGCTTCAAAGTGATGGCCCATGTCCTAGCCCAAGTTCTCAGGCTAGGCTCGGGCCCGAGCCCAAATGAGCTTGCCCCGGGCCGCGAGAGGGCTTCGGGTGGCCCACGGGCCGCCGGCCAATTTACACTCCTATCAATGTTAATGTTAACATGTCAATGTGAATATTCACATTGTAAACGGGCCGAACCAGGTCGGACCCATGGGCGAGTTTCGGGCCGCCTATGGGCCGCGGGTCAATTTTACGCTCCTATCAACGTGAATGTTAATATGTTAATGTAAATATTCACATTGTCAACGGGCCGGGCCGGGCCCGTCCCGGGCCGCTGGTCAATTTTACACTTCTATCAATGTGAATGTTAACATGTCAATGTGAATATTCACATTGTCAACGGACCGAGCCCGCCCCGGCCCAAGGGGGAGGGACCGCCCACGAGCCACAGGCCAATTTTACATTCTTATCAATGTGAATATTAAAATATGAATATTTACAGGCCGCCCCGCCCCGGGCAACGGGCGGGCTTCGAGCCGCCCACGGACCACGGGCCAATTTTACATTCATATAAATGTGAATGTTAACATGTCAATGTAAATAGTCACATTGTAAACGGGTCGAGCCGAGCCCGCAGGCGGATTTCGGGCCACCTACGGGCCACGGGTCAATTTTACACTCCTATCAACATGAATGTTAATATGTTCATGTGAATATTCACATTGTCAACGGGCCGAGCCCTCCCCGGGCAGCCCACGGGCCACGGACGGGTTTCAAGCCGCCCACGGACCGCGGGCCAATTTTACACTTCTATCAATGTGTATCAATGTGAATGTTAACATGTCAATGTGAATATTCACATTGTCAACGGACCGGGCCCGCCCCGGGGGCGATCTTCGGACCGCACACGAGCCGCGGACCAATTTTACATTCTTATCAATGTGAATGTTAATATGAATATTTACATCATAAAATTGCTAACCATACAAATATTTATCAAAATTAAATAGAAGGGCATAAGAGTCTAAAAAAAGAATGTAAATCAAGAAAAAAGACTTTATGGAATAAACTATACATACATAGGACTAAATGGGTTAATAAATTTTTCATAGACTTTTTAGGTTAAAACACTTTTAAATTGGATTTATCAATAACAAATACAAAATATTATAAAATATTTGACATTTTTCACTATTTGTACTCAACTATATTGTGAGGTAATGTATAATATTGTTGTATCATATTAACTGAAACTAATTTTCTTATGATGTTTTGTAAATTTATTGAAATGTAAATTAAGTGGTGTTTTTGAATTTAGACTCAATCCCATTGGTGGTTGCCTAGCCAATAAAGTGTTTAATACTTGGGACTCAAAAAAATAAGAAAATATTTTTTTAAAAATCACAAAATACCATTACTATTGATCAAATACACATCCACATAATATTCCAAAAAGACAATAATTTTTGCTTCCACCCAATCCAACAAAACATCTATTTATAGACTCTTAAGGCGTATTTCGGACAATTACAACTTCTTTGTCAAATTATGTTTGTGAGTATACAATTTCGAATCAAATTTCTGAAGAAAACTTCCTTGTGTGGGAAAGTTTCTCACCGATGCAGGTGAGATTAGAAGTGGTAGGTCCGCACAATTTCCAGTGTCAAGAACATAGTCCACACACAATTTTGACTTCAGTCAAACACATTTCTTATGAATCCACCTGCACTAGGTACTTATTTGAGGCCAAAGTTATGGCATTCAACATATTCTCTAAATTTCAACACAATAATCAAAACCAAATACTCATCAACGCAAGATGCTGTACTGAAGTATTTAAACTGTAAAAAGATCCATGAACAATACTGAAGCTGCATTGATTCACAAACGCTCCAAAAAAGCAACTTTAGGGCAAGTTCATACACAACCATAAGGCATTAGACAAGAAATACCAAAATGCATCTTTAACCATGTACTTATTTTTCATCTAACATCAAATTCCAACCCAAGACAACTACTTTTTCCATAGTTTTTTCCCCAGAACTTATAGGCAGCTCTGCCGAGACTGCAAAGATGTTTTCTATTTCAAACACTCACCAGCCAAGAACTGCCGTGCTCATGGCAAGTATCGCAAAAACTACCCATCTCCCAAACGAACAAATACTTACCTTTTAATCAATCAAGTAGAATAGCTTGGACTTCATTCCATCCGACTTCAAAAACTTGCCCACTACCATCCAATATTAGTTGCTTACACGTTACACGTCCAACCATCAAACCAGACAAGGATATCTTACCCTCATAAAATCCACATTTCCGACACCTATTTTCATAATCTCCATTCATGCGGTCTAGAAACCTTGGCACCAGCTGCGTAAAAAACAAGAAGAGAAATAAGGCCAATAATTCAATACTGATAAACCAATAAATGCTGAACATAAAAGAAAGCATTATTGACATTAAAATGCAAGAACTAAACCAGACAATACGGCTCCACAAAGTTTTCTAGAGGACTGACTCATGGTCAAAATTTTGGCTCAAGTTTCCAACGTATCTATGCCATTAGTGTTGACAAAAGATAAAAACCAAACATCAATTCAATCCACGGGTGCCATAAAAATTGAGTAAACTTTTAACTACATCAAATTTTCATTGATGTCAAAGTTCTTAATTAAAGACCGGTCCTCGGCCCTATCAACCACAACAAATTATGTGAGAAGTGAATCAAATTTTTCAGTAAAATAAACATTTATTAATTGGATATTGGAACGCAATAGATAAACATGATGCAATTTAGCATAAAAAATAATCCAAGCAAACATTTTTTTAAGGGTAAATTACAAATACACCTCCTGAGATTTACTTAAAATACGAATTGCCCCCTGTGGTTTGAAAAATTACAATCCCTGTCAGAATTTTTTATTCAACAGAATTAATTGAAAAGTGAAATTTCTAATTGTTCACCAATTCAATAATAAAATTATCTGAATTTTTAATTAAAATAATCTTTTAACATCATTAAAAACTGTTAATTAACTTGATAATTTATTAACAAAATGACCTATTTGTTATGAAATTAGAAATCTTATGAGACATAATGTACTTTCTAGAACCATAGGGGATAATTTGTAATTTAAGTAAACCTTAGGGGTGTGTTTGTAATTTACCCTTTTTTAAATACTTTAATCATAATCATTCAAAAAATACTAGAGACCGAGTTGACTTAATAATAAATACACTTTCAGATTCAATTATAATAGTGCATGCAGAGAGAGAGAGAGAGACCTGTTCATTAGCAGGTGCCTGCAACACTCCAAGACCATCCATGCTCCAACAGAAAGTAACATTGGCCACACTGCAAAGACAATGTCTGAACTGGCTGCACCAGGCCACCGGACATCCATCACAGTAGATTGTTCACCTCCTGAATGGCAAAGAGAAAGCATCAAGACTTGACTCTCAGAAAAATTAAAGGGAAAGACTAAGAAAAATAGAATACCTTTCACAGGAATCACTAAATGAAATCAGTTCACCTCAACAGCCTAAACCATAGTTTATTATAACTTGTAGTAAAGTCTGAAAAGCCTGAAAAATGCATCGTCTTACCGACTATATCCCATAATCATCTCACACAAAGAAACGACCTCCCCAGGGAAACTGTCCTTGATATTGCTCTGGCAGTGTAACAGGCTGTTGATTTCCTTCCTGAAGCTGCTGCTGCTGCTCATGATATAGTTTCAGACGTTCCGAAAATTGATAATCCTGCCAGCCTTTCTGTTTTTCTGCATGGACTTGCAATGTTGATACTTGTTTTCCAGGAAAGGGAAAGCTTACCATCCCCATCGAGCCATCGTTCTTAATCGCAGGACGAAATGTGTCTGCTGACTGAGTTGTGGAATTATTGAATGCAAAGCCTTGTGTTGATGATGGCAACTTATACCCATCTAGCCAGCTATAATCATCCATTGGTTGATTTTCATTCTTCAATAATACACCAGACGAGGACTCATCCACAAGTTTGGGAGCAATGGAGCTGAACCCAGGTGGGGGACCCGAATGCCTAACAGGTCGGCTTACTGGACTGTTTCTCAAACCTGATGACACCATTGACGACAACTGCATGGACAAGCTATCCAAAACAGTTGCTGGTGACATAATTGAATCAAACATAGAAGGGACTGCAGTTTCTGAGACCTGAACTGGATATTGACGTCCAGCACTGAGATTAACAGACTGATGAGGAAATGGAACAGAAAGAGCAGTAGGCTGCAAAGCTCCTAATTGATTTTGCAACTCGTGTTTCATACGAAAACCATTCTCCAAAAAGCTCAACTTGGCTGGTTCATTTGCAATAGAAACTTCTTGTTCTACCAGCCATTTTGAAGTATTTGGTTGGATTGGTAACAAATACTGTGTAGTACTGTTAGCAGGAGATGGCTGTGGCCTGGAACTCATATTGAAATCATTCTGCAAAATGAAACCATCACTTGATGCTGAAACAGACCCAACATGATTTCCCAAATCAACCTTGAAGCTATTAACACCAGACCCCAAAACCTCAGAATTGGTCAATTTTGAAGCAACCTCATCAGCATGCTTCTCAGGTACAGTTGGTTTGAAGACAATCACCTCATCCTCTTCTTCCCCATCCATGTATAGCTGTGCCTTTGGCTGCAAAAGGCCAAGATTCAAGTGATTTTCTGATACATTTTCTTGTTCAGTACCATTTAATCTGGGGATCTCCAAACTAGAAAGTGAATAATCATCATCAGACATTTGTGGCCCAACACCTATGGCAAATCTCTTCAACTTTGGATCAAAATAAATTCCCTGTTGACCAACTTGAACCACATTAGCAAGAGCCTTTCCAGCTGCTATAATCCTCTGAACACGAGTTTTCTTCCCCTTACTGCCACCATCACTTTCAAATGAATGCTTCCTTGAAAAATCAAGGATTAGTTGTGCGGGAAGAAGAGGCAGAAATCCTCTTAATTCAAAGTCTTCAAACAATGCAAGCCGATTGGCAGTTTCACCTTCATCATACCTGCTCATATTGAAAAAACACGTTTCATCTTCATTCTCATTAATTGACGAGAATCCACTTGACAAGAGCTTGTTCATAAAGGAAACACAGTGGTTCCAAAAAAAGGATCTAGCACTAGCTAGTTTCTCCTCCACTTCAGAGCCAACTGCAATCTCTTGCCGACATGCTAACCATTCCACAAAAATCATGATGCCAGGCAACAGATAGCTCATTGAAGGATCATTCAACTGGATGCATCTCTCAAGAATGTGTCCCATGAACTTGAAAACAGCAGTAAATGCATTCTGGAGCATAACTGAACGTTGTAAAATTTCAGCATAAGACTGATTTTCAGTTTCTCTGTTCATATTGTGAACAGTGAATATGAGAATGGCTATCAATCTAATAATCACAAGTCTACACTCGGCAACATCTGAACCAAAACTGTACTCCTCATCTGGCCCAGAAGAAAGAAGCTCCAGGAAATCTCTTTTAGCCATAGAGAAAACTTCACCAAATGTCTCCAAGCTGGTAAAAGACGATAAAGTGTTACTTCATAATTGGACTGGACTGCCAGTGCCTAAGAAGCACAGACACAAACATGGACTCAAAAAAATGGACACGACACATGGGGGACACAATTAAAAAATATATAATTGTCTATATGCCTATTTAAGGATAAGCAATGAATATATGTCATATATATAAATATTTAATTCAAAGAGTAAAATTCTAAAGAAAGAGAATTTAGTATAAATTTATGTAGTTTCTTTTTTATCATTGGATTTCAATTTATTTTATTCAAACTTACAATATGTTTAATATGTGTCCACGCAATAGACATGTGTTCCTGAACTATATGAAGCACATCCAAGTCTCGAAATTTTTTAAAAATAGTTGACATGTTTGGACGACATGTTTGGACGACATGTCTGATAGGTATTAGGATGTGTTCGATGAGGTATGTGTGGCACGATACGCCACCTTCTTAGATGTGTCTGCTTCTTAGGCTAGTGTTATATGTAAACTTATCCCATTGGTCAGAAGACATACCTTGTCCGTGTGAAAAGTATGCCATTCAGTCGAACAAAACGAATGTTGAAGGCTTTAAGAGTTTCATGTATACTAGATGATCTTTCCTTCACAAAACTAGCTTCTACTCTATTATCTTTTGGAACCCTTGTTTCACCTTTTTGTCTCCTTTTTCCAGTCATCCGCCCAGGGGTTTTCTTGACAGAAGCTTTGGCATCCCCAAGCAGCTGGGAATAACTCTGACGGTTCTGCCAAAAAGAAAGTATAGGTAGGACGATAATTAACATTTCTTACAGATTTTATACAGAGACTTTACAACAGAAACCAAACTATTCATGTTTCATTTGTTGCCAGGCAAAGCAACATCAACTACACTTGCAGGTAAAAGCTGAGTCTTTGAATCCAAATCTTTAGTCTGTACCTAAGGCTCAGTTTGGTTAAGATAAAAATGGTAGAAAGTGAAGGAAATGGAAAAAAAAAATAAATTTTTTCTAAGTTTGTTTAGCATGAAAGTGATTGAAGTTACAAGAAAGTTAATTTTATTGTACAACTCATAATAGCATGGTAACTAAGCTTCTAGTTTCTTGCAAAAAATACATGAAAATACAAGAAATTTTAAATTTGTTATCAAAATAGTTACTTATAATTTGAATTCCTATTTTTCCCTCCCAAAAACACATTAATGTGTACTAATTGGGCATTTTTTTTTTCTTTGATTTCAACTTCACTTTTTACCATTTTCACCTTTCATCATTTATTACTTTCTAATCAAACGGAACCTACCAGACACTTTTCAGCTAAGCCTATAAACCTATCCATATGGTCTCATGGAAAAGATAAGCCCATACCAACAAGTCAAAAAACAAAGGTCAATACGCACTTAATCTATGACCCAAACTTCTTAAGCATCTCCTTTTTTTCAAGACCTTAGTACAGTCATTAAATAAACTTCATGGTTCTTAACCCTGATAATAAAAAATAAAACTGGAATAGTATGCTGAAGAAATATGGGGGCATGTTTGGTTTCTCTCAAAACATGTTTTTGGAGAAAAAATTCCAAAAACATGTTTGGTTGAATTTTATTTATTTTTGTTAATTCAAAAACCCTTCTCTCTACTACACATCAATCAATCATTTTTTCTCCTCATCTCTCCTTCTCAATCCACTTTTTCTCACACCCATCTATTCAACTACAAAAAAAATATCAAATCATCCCAAACTCCAAAACTATTTTCAAAATATACAACCAAACAAATTTTCAAATTTTCTAAACTCTCCTCATAAAATTATTTTTGAAATAATATCTCAAAACACAAACCAAACAAGGCCATGGCATACACTTCTAACATCTTAATAGTTCTTACCTTCTCAAATGCAATAATCAAATTATCCCTTGCAGTGGTAAAAGGGTTATCAACTGCCAGACTTCGGAAATATCGGTAAATTGTCACCAGTTCATCCCCTGAATAAGAAGCCAGTATTGCAAGCTGAAAAAAAGCAAAGGATGAGTTTAATGACATAGATTCATCACCACAAGACAACCATATAAAGAAAAGAATAAGCCACACCAGAACGTAGCACAGACATCAAATATAAGAAAGCTATGTAACAATGGATCAAAAGGGATCACCTGATGATGAGGGTTGCCACTTGAAGGCCAAAGTGAAGCAGCTTGCATATAGTAACTTGACGCTGCTGCAAGATCTTGCACTTTGGACTCACCCTCCCCATATAACCCTTTGTAACGAGCAAGATCCCCAAGGTAAATCAAACAACGGTGGCAGGAGACCAAACCTTTCTTCGCTTCAGCAGATATATTTACATCTTTAGACAAAATCTCATTTTCTTGATCATAGGAGAAATAACCCAGTGGTAGACCATATTTAGCTCTAATTTTAACCATCAAATCGTGATAAAACCCAGTTGCTTCCGAAAGGAAGGTCTTAAACTGAGAACGAATTTTTGTGAGTCGCTCAGGTCCAAGTCGTGTGGTACCTTTCCCATTCTGAGGAGTGGTCGATCCTGTTGACGCAAGAGCAACACTAAGGTGCGCACGTAACTCCTCAATTCTCCTGTAATGCAACTGCCATATAGCATACTCTATTTCATGCTGTTCAGAGAAAGCATGATCTTCAAGGAGAATAGCTTCATAGTTCTCTCGCATCTGTTGCCATGCATTGGGATCTGAGGGAATTCTGGCTTGTGCTGCTTTCCGGCGCCTATTCTCCAACTCAACATTCTAAAATGAGGAAATAGACAAACATCAAACAACTTGGTCACTATCAATACAAATAAAATAATAACAAAATATAAGAAGACAACGATACTGAAAGTTCTTTGACATGATCACTCGGCATAATGCTTAATGCCCACATCCTTTCATCTGTGTTTTCCCAAAATGATGCACATGCACATTACTTTTACCCTTTGTGCATGAAATATGGCTAGATTGCTATACCCTTTCCAGGTATATGCACAAAGGGCATACACTCTGCTTGTACTATTGTTCTATCCCATAATAATTTAAAAAATAAATAAATAAATAAAATCTGGGAAAAAGCAAGGCATACATTGCTATAAAGACGTTGAACGCGATCCCTTGATGAAAGATCTGAAGTATTATCCATCGGAATAGTCATTATCCATCAAACAACCTTCACTAAATTCAGCTCCAAAAGATGTAGCTTCAATAGCAACACACGACATTTAAACTAAAGGAAACTGCCTGCAGAATAACAATTCAATCAGAACAAAAAATTTTAAACAAATTCAAAAGGCACATACAAACACAAACATATCTATAAGATCTGAGTCTTAAAAAAGAATAGTATTGCTGAAATAGCTATATTTCCTATTTCTTAAATACTTATTTTGTTTCTTAAATACTCATGTCAAATTCAAGTGTCAAATTCATCTAATTCTCTTGTCAAGGACATTGAGACAAAGCTATATTTCATATTTCTTAAATACTTGTTTTGTTTTTTAAGAGTAAAATGGCGTTTACAAGCTAAAATATGGCATTTACGTGTATCTCATGCGTAGTTGTAGTAAAGTAGACTACTTATAATATTTTTTTGATAAATCTCCAACTACGCATATCAGACACATATCCTATGACCTTACCCGAGTGTCAAGTATCCGACACGGTTACTTCACAAACTTAGAGACACAACCTCCCTCCCTCATAAGCAATACCTCTACTTCGAGAAACTCCAATCAAACTTGAGGAAAGTGATAAAATGGTGTTGGACGATTGAGTCATAAGCAGTGGAGGCCATTTTCACGCTGATGGTGGTCACGATGGAAGTGGGTGATGGTGGGGGGTGGAGGGTGGGGGTGTGGCATAGAGTGATGATGGTGGGAGTGGAAGGTCGGAGGGTGAGAAGAGTTGCTGGTGACAGAAACATAGAGGACAGTTGTCATGGGCTTCAAGGTGAGGTAAGGTGAGGATAATTAGGTAATTTTGTTTCAATATGTGGTTAATGATGTAATTTTACTTTTCCCGTTAGAGTTGTTAAAAAAAAACACTAACAAGGGTGATCTGTGTAGTTTCCATAATGTGGGATGAATCTATATTATGCACAAATTTCAAGAGAGGTCAGTGTAATTTGCACTTAAGTTAAAAAAGGAACTTCAAATTTTAAAATGTCCAAATACCGTCATATGCACCTACACATTTTCAAAATAATTGAAAATGCTATTTCTTTCCTTCTCTAATTGCAACATCCTCTCATGATTTTGTTCAATAGTTAATACAACCATGAAGATCGCCATAAATAATTCCAGTGCATCTATTCCACATAAAATAACAACAAAGTATCAAAACCTCGGTATTATGGAGATTACTAGTTTTTATTATTTGACCTAGAAGAAAATGTACTGGCAGTTACAGAGTCTACCATGAAGCGATGATACTGTTCGTGTTTAGAGATAGGCCATGCGGTTATGACTTCGCATATAATTTCTATAAAACACAAATAAAATATAATGGAAACATATGCAGATAAAATTATACAAACAGTGACACACGGGTTTTTGGGAGCTAGATTGCTTAATTGCAATCAGAACACTGGTTTGGAAAGGATAGTTTTAGCCCAAAAGCAATAACAAATTGTCAAATCATTCTCTACTTCTTACACGTCTTTTCATAATCGTAAAAAACCAAAAATCCATTAAAAAAGAAAATTTCCAAACAAGCCTATGCACAGATAAACGAAGGGGAAATTGCAATTCAGTGTAAGTTTTAAAAACAAATTGCAAATCAATGGTAAAGCTTATCAACTTTAATAATTAAACTGATAAACTTTTCCATGATTTGCAATTTATTTTTGGTCTTACCACTGATTTGCAATTTCCCCATAAAAGAACACCCAACTATTAGCCACCCCCATATACACACCTGAAACTGAAAAAATTCAAAACCACCTCTATTAAATTGACCTTCAACCAAAAAAAATACAAAGAAAAAAACTGAGAGAAAGCAAAAAAGGGATAAAAAGGGGTCCAAGAGGAAATCAAGACAACGAAAACCAACATGTCGATCAAAATTTCTCATATAACCAAGAAATAAAGCCCAAAAACCTTGAAACTCCAAATTATATATAGAACCCATGTTAACCCACTACGTAAGCATCGATTTTGAAACAAAACTACAAAAAAAAAAAAACAAACAAACAACCAAACAAAACAAAAGCAAAAGCAAATAAATTAACCTCGAAATCTAAAATTATGGCTACCTGTTACGAAATCAGATCTGCAAAGGTCTCGTCGCGCAGAGAATCGGTGAATTGAAGGATAATTCGGAGAGAAAAGATAATCTGCGAGGACAAGAGAGGAGAGTTAGGGCGAGTCTAGGGTTTGGTTGGGTTGTCTTTTCAAGCCATTGTCGTTGGAATGAACATGAAAACACAAAAACAAGAAGCCTTTTCTTGTTTTAGTCATGCGAATATGACCGACTATAGTCTTAAAACTTATCACCTATATTTAAATATTTAAATTTCAATTAATTCCATTTTACCCCAAGTTTAGTCTAAAAACCCAAAACCTCCCTAACATATGTATATATCTGATAAATTTAGGTAAACTGTATAAATTTAGTATAATTATTATAATATTTAAAATATTTATTTCACATAACGCTTATATATTTTTATTAGTAATTCATTAGTTCTATAAATAAAAAATTATGTTTTCATACACTTAACATTATTTATATTTGTGTGTTCTGTTGTTTATATTAATTTTGACCACCTAAATAAAAATTTGTGTATTTATATAAACAAATGTAAAACTTGTTATATTTTATTTAAAACTTTAGGGAGATTAGTGCAATTTATCTTTTTTTATGAAAAATATATAAGCATTTGTAACCATCTTAATATTTTAATATACCTAAATATTTTTTTTTTAATTTGAAATAAAGTGTAAATTTAATAGAGTGTCTCAAACAAATAAATACGTGTGTTAGGCGCTTGATTTAACTCTATATGAACGAATTGAAAAAAATTGGCGAGTTTATATCTACGTCACAAATTAAATTTTTACAGATACTTTTTATTATTTACGTTTACAAATTTAATATTTATATTTTATCCTTTTGCCATTCTCATAATTCCCGATATACTCTCATTATTTTCTTTATTTTCACTCCCTGATTCCCTTTCACTACACCCACAATATCTCTTAATTGTTGCGACAACCCTACCACTCGTTTTCCATATGTAATGATGGTGACCAAGGCAAAATCCAAAACTCTCTTGTTGGTAAAAATATCAGAAAAAATATATTTTGTTGATAAATAATGCAAAGAAAAGGAGATACAAATAGATCAGGCTGAGGCACGGATATCTCGTTTTCTTTAAGGAGATCAAGCCCACTGCGGTTGGAAAAATCTAAATACCGATGCAGCAGTCACAAAACTATGACATGTCCCCTCCAAGATACAACAGCCCGACCACTTGTTGTATGGTTCAAGCCAACTCTGCACAAGATGGTGAACCCAAAACTCCACTAAGAAAAACACCCTTCTTTACTAGTAATCTCTCTTGTATAGAAAATAATTGATGTGTTGATTTGTTGTTGCAGAAAAGAGTAGAAGAGAGAACTATTTATAGGCCACTAGGATATTACAAAAAACATCAAAAAACAATAATGGCCATGAACCTAGAAAAAAGGGAGAATGTACCCAAACATGAATTCACCACTTAAACTCCACACATGAACAAGACAAAAAAACACCAAAATAATGAATCTCCATTCATGAACAACATAAAATTCATGAATAAGAACCAAGGAAGATTCATGAACAGAATGAATAAATAAATAAATAAATGATATTAAAATGAACCAACATCTCCAAATTACGAGTACAAGATATATATGATTTAAAAGAAATTGAGTTAAGGTTTTCAATTATTGGATTACAATTGGTTGGCTAAGTATGTGAGATGGAGTAGGGATATTAGAGTGACATCAATGAAGGGTAAAAACAATAAAACTAAGAATGAAAGGGATGAGAAGGTTGCAAGTGGCAATGAAATTAAGGAAATATGATTGAGTTTGTAATAAAATTGTGGAGAAGCAGTGATCGTGATGTACTAAGATGATAGGAGATGAGTGGGTTGTATCAAGAAATTGTGAAAATGTAAAAAAAGTAGGGGACGTGGAGTTGTAGAGAGCGTGAAAGGCAGTGATGGCATGTTAGTAAGATAATGGATCATAAGGGGAATGAGATTATGGACATATTATATTACTTTTCTCATTTGTGTCCCTAGTTTATAATTTATTATTTAAGACCAATTATTGTGTAATTTAGCTTACACTATTTAAAATGAACATGATTAATACTTTGCATTAATCGCTAATTTTTTATTGAAGTTTTCCTTAAATTCGTATCAACAAATGATGGTACATATCGCCTTTCGTAATTAACTTTATGATTTGGTGTGTATACTTATTTATGATATTTTTAAATAGTTATGATTATTGCTTACATTTCCCTCCATCTTCAATGTGACAATTCTTTTCGAGAAGGTACTGGGTGGTCTTAGAGTATTACTCAACACCAATCAAAATTAGATAATTAGATACTTATCCATATGTCTTCTCAAAATAAAAACAAAAATAATAAGACCTACTGTTTTAACCAACCAAACTTTATTTAGAACAACATATAACTTTGCATTAAGGCCAAAATATAATTTCTCATACTTTTCATAAGTGTCCAGATTCTCTCCAACTGTCAAGACCCAAACCTGTCCCTAAAAGTTTAAGACATGACCGGCCTGTACTTAGGCCTCAAATAACAATTTAAGAATATAATTTATCCAATGGTGGGGCCTAAAACGAAAGCAATTAAATAATAGAACGTCCATCGAGCCGTGCATATATACCAGGATCATTATACAACTTTCCTTAAACGACGAAGTTCACATGCACACTTCAGATATAAATACAATCCAAGGCAAGTATACGTACAAAAAGTTAAAAACCTAAAAGTTACATGACCATAAAATATTTAACAAAAGCCATCAAGGATTTTACAAAAATGTGACACTGAACTCCGTAAGAGGCAAAAAGACTCCACTTTAGACTTAACAAAAAATGTCCACAAAGGGCATCTGAAATTGACTTAGGGCTGGCCTCTAAGCTGACCACCTACAAAACATATATGAATACGAAATGGGTCAAGCTCAATGAATAATAATAATGTATAAGGGCATGTAAATAAACGTGTGTCTTGAAGAATATGTATGTATTACATGTATGTCATTTCCAACAACACATTCCAGAACGGCCGCCGTTTGGTAACACTTACGTTTTTAGTTTTCTGTTTATATTTACAAAAATTTAAAAAACTCAAATAAAAACTTGTTTGATAAAATTTTTGATTTATAAATCAGTGGTCTCAGTTTATAAATTTGGCCAAAAAATGAAAACACCTAAAATGTGTTTCCATTTTGAGTTTTCAGTTTTTTTTTTTACCACCCAACACTAGCCACCACCCGCCATCATTTTCCACCACCGTCTTCCGCCACCACCACCCACTCCCCACCACTACTCACCATCCACCTACCACCACCACCCACCACCGGCTACCACCACCCACCACCCACCACCCACCTATCACCCACTCGCCACCACTACCCACCCCTCGCCGCCGCTACCACCCCCACCCATCATCCATCCACTCACCACCTGCCACTACCATCCACCGTCCGCCACCACCACCCACCACCTACTTGCCACCACCACTCACAACCCACTGTAAAACGTTTATTGTGCAGTGAATTTATGCGGTTATCATTGAAGAGAGAGAAAATCAAATAGCCTCGATCAGATGGAGAAGTTAATGAGGTGAGGTAATTTCTGTTGGATGTCCGTTAAGATGGCATGGGTCCCCCATTAAATTGGAGGCTAATGACATGGGAATCCTTTGAAAAATGAATGAGGTGGCATGCGATTATTAGCTTGGACCTCTCTGTTCTAGGGGTGAGCAGCGGATATATCGATCCGTCAAAATCGACTGAACCGAACCGATCCGTCACATTTTGGACGGATGCGTGATGACGAGCGGACGGTTGCGGACATGAAAGTTTATTTCCGCCAATTTGGCGGACGGATGGCGGATTTGAGATTTTT